GTGTCTAATTGTATATTGAACCTGGTGATAGTAAGGTATACGTGAGAAAAAAATTGATAATTTTAGTGGCTCTGCTAAAAACAAAACATAGAAAATCCAAGCATAATCAAAACAAACAAACCCATAAAAAAATCCAATTAATGAGAAAAAACAACATTCATTATAACAAGAAATAAAAAATGATAAAACTAGTAGATCTAAAAAAAATAGCAGAATTATATATATGTATTTATTAAATTCTTAACAAGCATAAAATAAATTAAATTACTAATTATCTTGTTGTTTCAATGAATCAATTGGCAATACCTTTATTTTAACTTTTATGTTTTGTATTGTTAATTTTTACGGCTAGGTTTACAAAAAAGAAAGAGATAGATTTATAGAAAAGGAAGAGAAAGAAAGAGTAAAGGAAAAGAATTAATTGAAAAGCTTTAGGTTTATAAAAAAGAAAAAGATAGGTTTACATAAAAGAAAAGGAGAGAGAGAATACAGGAAAGGCATTACTTGACAAGCTTTTGTTTTTCATTGCCTAGAAATATACGGATATATAGCATATTAAAATTAAATATAATTAATAAAATAATAATTTAATATTAAAAAACTTATTATTTATTATTTTTTTTTTAAAAAAAAAGTTTTGCAGGGCCCGGGCCCTGCTGGCCTCCCCTTGATTCCGCCACTGCCTAGCAGCAAAAGTGAAAGTACCGGTGCCTCCAGTCCACAGATATTATCAGAAAGATATCGTTCTAAAGACTGATAGTAACCCCTGGTAAGTTAGATCCTTTTAAGGAACCTCTTGGATTTTGAACATTCCATCTGCAATGAAGATTATTCTGGCGACTGATAGATGATATTTTCCAAACGCCTATATTCTCCTTTTTCCTTACCCGATGCAAGCATGTCAGCTAGAACAAGCTACAGATATACATGAAGAAGAAGGTAAATGGGAAAGGCTTCTTCACGATGATGCTCAGATGAAAGCGATGAGTGAGATCAACGAGCTACATCCCCCTACTTTCCGTTTGAGTGACTTCTCTATTGAACTCACTCGGCAGGGATATATAGAATCTAAGGGAATCCCTCAATTTGTTGCTTCTTTAATAAGAAAGTCAGACATCAAGATCAAGCTTTGATTTACCGTTGTTTCCTTTGATGATTTCATGGCTAATCAAGTATACGCTGTCGCATGAATACTGGGGTCTTCACCTCTCTCTCCCCCAAAACGTTTTTTCCGAGGATGGCATTTTGTCTCTTGGCAAGCTTATGAAATGCACAAGTTGACTCACCTGGCCTTTTTTTCTTGTTCTGTTTACGTTGTCATATATTTGACCTTGTGTAAGAGTGACTTTTCCCTCGAAACTTAGACAATGTTTCGATGGTTACCACGCGATAGAAATGAAGTTGCGAAGTTGTCTTAACTGTGAACTGCTATATAAATAACACAATTGAGGCTTGATTTGAAGCATCGTAGCTCTCTATCTCTCTCTGTCAACAGCATGGGGGCTCAACAATGGATAGCAATGACAGTATTATGTGCAACTTTCTTTCAGATATGCAGAGCTGTAGACTCCCCTGCAGATGATAAACTCCTGAGTTTGCCAGGGCAACCAAGAGTCAGTTTCCAGCAATATGCAGGATATGTAACCGTAGACGAAAATCAAGACAAAGCTCTTTTCTATTACTTTGTCGAAGCAGAAACAGACCCAGCTTCAAAACCTCTTGTGCTCTGGCTAAATGGGGGTACTAATTTTCTTTTATCTAGTATTTTTCTGGTCATCATTTTCTGTGTTTTGTTTATAATATTGTTTAAACGCTGTTATATTTAATTTTACTTTTGTAGGGCCTGGCTGTTCCTCTGTTGGAGCAGGAGCTTTCTCTGAGCATGGCCCCTTCAGACCGAGTGGTGGAGGGAGTCTTGTTAGAAATGATTATAGCTGGAACAAAGGTTGTCACATCTGGCTTTCTTCTGTTTTTGTAGTAAAAGGAAACCCTAACAGTTGGCTTTCCTCTACTCTGCAGAAGCAAATATGCTCTACCTAGAATCACCAGCAGGAGTTGGTTTCTCTTATTCTGCCAACCAATCTTTCTATGACTTGGTGAACGACACCATCACAGGTCACCACAATTCTTAATCTAACTACTTCGTCGCCTATATTTCTGACATCATAACCTAACCTTTAATCTAGTTACTTACCTTTTTCACTGCTTTCTCTTCAGTGCAAGACAATTTTGTATTCCTTCAGAATTGGTTTCAGAAATTTCCCGAGTACAAGAATAGGGATTTGTTTATCACAGGAGAGAGCTACGCAGGTGAAATTAATTCAATGAAAGCATTACATTGCAGAAACAAGTAAAACATTTGTGCCTGTTGGTCTAAGTGATCAGTGATCTTGAACTCTGTTTCTTGACAGGACACTATGTTCCACAGCTCGCAGACCTCATAGTGAAGTCAGGACTAAAATTCAATTTGAAGGGCATAGCAGTGAGTAGCAACACAGAAACATGCATTCTGATAGTATTACCTTTTCTTCCCACATATTTTAAATGATATTCTCTGAGCTATCTGATTTTTGGCATTTCAGCTAGGAAACCCTCTATTGGAGTTCGGTACAGATTTTAACTCGGAAGGTGACTTCTATTGGTCTCATGGGTTGATATCAAACCCTACTTATGAACTTCTCAGTGCAGTTTGTAACACTTCACAACTCTGGAGAGAGCGCATAGGAAACTCCCTTTCGGCTTCTTGTTCGAAAGTGAATGATCAACTTCATGCAGAAATTTCGTACGCTATTGATAAATATGATGTCACTGCGAATGTTTGTCTGTCATTTGGTGCATCGCTATTGGGAGTTCAAAATAACCCATTAACACCAAGATTCCGACTTTTCTCATCCGCTGAATCACTGCAGGAGGCTCTCAGTCAGCAGGTAATTTCTTTAAGAGATAGCATTTCATCTCAGACATTACATTTTTTTTCTTTGGACTTATTATTGGATTTTTCTTCCCCTTATGCAGAAAGCTCAAGAGAACATTGATCCGTGTGTACAAGAAGAAACTTTTGTATATTTGAACAGGAAAGACGTGCAAGAATCTTTTCATGCCAAGCTTGTCGGAACTCCGAAGTGGACTTTCTGCAGTGGGTAATTAGTGATTGATTCCAACACTTTGACTCGGAGTGTTTAATTATTGTGTTTTACCATTATGTGTTTTTCTGTACATATGAGAATAACTTGTTTTGATTTATTACTCCATTTCAGTGTTGTAAACTATGATCTTCGAAACCTAGAGATACCTACAATTGATGTCGTGGGCTCATTGGTCACTTCAGGCGTCCGGGTCCTAGTATACAGGTACATGAAGCTGCTTTAAATCTCTTCTTACCAACTAGCAAAAGAGACTGTCATTGGTAATAACACAAATTTAAATACAGTGGAGATCAGGATTCGGTTATCCCATTTACGGGGAGTAGGACTTTGGTAGAAGGCTTGGCAAAAAAGCTGGGATTGAATGCAACTGTGCCCTATACAGCTTGGTTTGAGGATAAACAGGTTAGCCTGTTGCTGCAGCTTAAGATATACCAAGTTACAAATCATTCAGAAGTAAACATTGTTTTGGTTCCTGATCTCGTACTCTTAAATTTTTGTTCTCAGGTTGGAGGATGGACACAAGTCTATGGTGACATCCTGACATTTTCCACCATTAGGGGAGGCTCTCACATGGCACCATTTTCATCACCCGGAAGATCACTGGCATTGTTTGCAGCGTTTCTATCTGGGAAACCTCTTGTCTAAATTTATGGACCTTTTATTTTAAGTGATGCATCATCATATCAATAAAAATAGCATCAAGGAAAGATTGTTTGACAATCGAAATAATCTATACGTGATGAAATTTTCATTTTGCATTCTTCCATTTGAAGATTGATTATGTTTATACAAGTTGAATAGGTTTTTGTAAGCTTGAGCCATTAATGAAGTGTTCGAACATTCAAGGGAACAATGATTGTCTCCCATGGTCATTTTTCTTCTAGACCCCATACATTTAAAACTGTTCATAGATTCTGACCTAAACAATATCGCTTCTAAACTGCTCCAGAGATTCAGATTGCATTTTGTGTGGATGCTAGTATTCTGTGGGTCAATGGAAGGTTTGTCACAAGTGCGGACCAACTATCCTTTCAGAGTTTTCTAATAAAACAAAATTGAGGCAATAAATCTTATTATAATTCCAGCTCCATGGCTCTTCCAAGTAAAAGTTAACACTATGTGATGATACAATCAATCAATTATTTTCACAGGAATTCCATAAAAAAAAATGCACACATTTTAGATTAACTTGATGTAAAAAGAAGATTTGCTTCTTTAAACACCACGCGATCTCAATCATGGGTAATAGTTGCTGTACTGTGCGTACCTATTATCCAAATACCGAGAGCAGTAGCCGCATCCTCAATTGATGATAAAACCCTGAGCTTACCAGGGCAGCCACAAGTTGGTTTCCAGCAGTATGCAGGAGATGTAACTGTCGACGAAAAGCAATAGAGAGCACTTTTCTATTACTTGACTGAAGCAGAATGTGACCCAGCATCAATGCCTGTTGTTCTCTGGCTAAATGGGGGTACTTAGATTTTATTTTCACTCAAGTAGGATAATTCAGAAGATATTCATTTTTGTTGAATGGTTTAGTTACTGTTGTGTTAATTCTTTTGTTGCTTTTGTAGGGCCTGGCTGTTCTTCTTTTAGATTAGAAGCTTTCTCTAAAAATGGCTCCTTCAGACCCGGTGGTGGAGGGCTTCTGGTCAGAAATGATTTTAGTTGGAATAAAGGTTCCTCATAATTGTTAACTCTGTCCTTTTTAAATCTTCTCCCCACTTCTGATGCAAGTGGAAGGTTTAAATACAACAATAAACTCATAACACATAATTTTTTATGAGCGAAATGGATTGTATATCTGAACCTCAAATTTGCTAGTTTATTCTCTTAAGATAATAATATTAAAGTCTTTCTTTTTAGGATGTTTACAAAGCTTTAAATAGATCAAAAACTCTATTCCACTAGAAAATAACAACAGAAATCTGAAATTACAGAGAAAAAAAGTACAAAATTCAAAAGAAACAGGAAATCTGAAAATAACAAGGGAAAACACAAAACCGAGGGGCTAGGAAAGATTTTCAATATCTAAACCGCTTCCAAAAACTCTTGTAAAAATTTGAAAGTAATCTAATAACCGGATTAAAAATTATGGTTATTTTTAGATATCATTCTGGTATAGTAAAACCAAACTTTTTTAGACCTAGATTTGTCTTACCGATTTATAAATATTTATGTGAGGTCATTTATATAATCTGTCTGGGGCATATCCTCATCTAACTGTAGCAAATCTGACATCTCAAAATCATCCGTTATTGCAAGCCAACTACATCAACTTCTTTCTCCATCTGAATCTGATTCAACATTTTGTGTGCGAACCTCTAGTTGTTGCCTGAAAAAATCTTCCGCCAGAAGTTCTGTTGACTGCAAAAGACCTAACCATTGGCAGCCAAGTGATGGTTAATAAGCCCGATGGATATGTTCTCTACACATTATACCCTGCTAAGAGTTTAAACATTCCTTTCTTTTGTGCTGCAGAATCAAACATGCTGTCCCTGGAATCACCAGGAGGGGTTGGTTTCTCTTATTCTGCCAAGCAATCTTTCTTTGACTTAGTGAATGACACTATCACAGGTACAAATTTCTTATTCCAACTACTTGGTTGCTTAATATGTTAACATCTTACCTAGTCTTTTCATAAAATCCGTAGTTTTTATCAACTTATCAGCCTTATCGTTATTCTGCCTGGTTTTTTTTTTTTTTATGGGCATAAGTAGTATCTGGAAATTTTCTTTTCAGAACTTAAAATATTAAGGCTTTCTTCTTTTCAGCAGAAGACAGTTTCATATTCTTGCAGAAATGATTTATCAAATTCCCTGAATACAAGGATAGAGATTTCTACATCACTGGAAAGAGCTATGCAGATGCCTTGAATTCTGTAAAGATTGAAAACATGCAATTTTTCTGGAAGAAACAGCTATGAATTTGAATCTGTTGGTTAAAGTGAGTGATCATCAAGCTCCCTAACTGTAATCCTATAATGACAGGCCACTATGTCCCTCAACTAACATACCTCATTTCTCAGTCAGGACTAAAATTCATCTGAAGGGCATCGCTGTGAGTACAGAATAGAAATCCTGATATTATCAGCTTTTTTCCTTTTATATTCTCAAATCATATTTCACGGAGTGCTAATATTTCACTTTTAATATGTTTTCAGGTAGGAAATGCTTTATTGGAGTTCAATACGGATTTTAAATCAGAAGGCAACTACTATTGGGCCCACGGGTTGATATCAGATGCGACTTATGAACTCATCAATTCAACATAACAGGCTCTAAATTTGCTGCTTGTGGTGGGTGTGAATAAGAAACTTCCGTTAGAAATTCCTAATGCAGTTGATAATTACAATGTCATCGGCGACTTTTGCATATCATCTAGTGAATCACAGCTGGATGTTCCCAGTTACCCTTTTAGACCAAGGTATCAAGTTTCATCATCCACAAAATCAGTACAAGAGATACTCTAAGACTATAAGCTCTCCCTGTGTCACCTTATCGGTGCAAGCTGTTTTTCCTTTGCTGCTTTAAAGTGGGGCAATTTTATTTTTTTTAATTCTCTGTGTATGCAGAAAGATGCTGAGAATATAGATGTTTGTGTGCAACGAAAGCCATCTGAATGTTTGAACAGGAAAGATATGCAAGAAGCTATTCATGCTAAGCTTGTAGGAGTCACCAGACGGACAGGTTGCAGCAGGTCATATAATTCTCTCTGCTTTGAAGCAGGATAGCTTTCTTGATCTTTCTTTTTCTTTTTCTTTTTTTTTTGTGTAAATGACAATAGGGTGTTTCAATAAGTCATTCACTTCTTTTAGTGTGGTGAATTATGATATGCTGAACTTAGAGATACCTACAATTAATATTGTAGGTTCACTGGTCAGTTCAGGCATCCGGGTCCTAGTCTACAGGTAACTCAGCAAGATTTTTATCTCTCACTTACAATAGCAAATGTGACAACTATTCAGTCTATCCATTATATAAGTTGAAATTCCATCAAGATCCAGTTGTCCCCTTCACTGGGAGCAGAACTTAGGTTGATGGATTGGCAAAAAGAGCTAGGATTGAATGCAACTGTGCCTTACAGATCTTGGTTTGAGGATAAGCAGGTTAGTCTAGCTGCTGTTGCTGTAACTTAATGTAACTGCAGTAAATTTCGTCTGCAATAAAACTTGATCCTTCATTTCTGTTAAATTTGATCCATTTTTCATCCCAGGTTTGGATGGACACAAGTTTATTGTGCCGTCCTTACATTTGCAACCATCATATTTAGCACCATTGACTTCTCCCAAGAGATCCTTAGCCTTATTTGCAGCGTTGCTGTCCAGAAAAGATTAATGCAATTTATGAACTGTCAAAGCAAGATTATTTAGCCAAATCATCTCTAACCAGCAATGAGATTTTCATGAACGCGACAAAAGAGGGCCAGCCAAAGAAGGCCAGTTGGAACTGACAAATTATTGGTTCAGTTTTTCTTCTCAGGTTGGTGGATGGACGCAAGTTTATGATGACATCCTAACATTTGCAACTATCAGAGGAGCTGGACACTTGACACCATTGACATCTCCCAAGAGATCCCTGGCCTTACTTGCAGCATTTCTAGTTGGAATTTTCATATAAACTCTCCAAGTTAAGCCATTTTTAAAAATTATGCTTGAAACAAGATCTGTGCAAGACAAGACCATGTTTAAAAATAAAAAAAGCTATATTATCATTTCATAGCACAACTTCCCTCATCATGGGCCCATGGCTGGGTTGGACTGCATCCCCATGCTTTTTCTACGGCTGATTTCTTTGAAAACAAGGGTTGAATCACATTTCCAAAGGAGATCCCAGCCTGCGTTAAAAAAGAAAAAAAGAAAAAAAAGAAGCATAGTTAAAGCTTGAAAAAGGTCAACCTTCATAGAATTAAAAGTTAATTTAAGGTAAGTACTAATATCTTGAATTTACTTTATAATAGTTATGAATTTAAATTTTATGTGTTTAAATTTTATTAAGGTTATACAAAGTTTATATTTTAAAGGTTCTATTAAATAAAATATTAATTAAAAAAATTGATAAATTCAATTAGAGATTCGTAATGATATGGGGAACAGTCAAGTTGTAATCCGAGTATAATTGGGTTAGCATCCAAGGAAAAAAAAAACAAGATAAAAATGATACGCTATTGTTTTGATGTTTTTAATAAAAATAATTTGTATCCTTTTTCTAGATTAATTCTCTCGTTAATAATTAAGCATTTTATTAAAGATGATATTTTATTTATTTATTTATTTAACTACTCTCCTAACAAAATATGATAGCAGAAGCTGGGCAGGCCCATAAAGTGATAAAGCTCAGCCCAGGTCGGTTGAGGGCTCTAAGCCCACAAAAAAAGGCCAAATGAGATCTTAACAGATCCAGTCCAGCAGATACAATAAAACTCATCAGGTATTTCCACCTTGTCCGCTACTTCCATTTTTATTTTAACAGACCGTGCATTCAGAAATTATATTGTAATAATACAAAATATCTGAAAAATCAATTTAATTCATAAATTTATTCCCTCAACCCTCCGTTAAGACTTCTTTGTTTCCTGCTTCTCTACGTGATTCACCAGCTATCTTGTGATTATTATTTACCTAAACAAACTAAAAGAGCTGGATTATGTTATGCAGCTTTTTTTCTTTTATTTTTTTGGCATTTTAAATTATTTTTTTAATTCAGTTCTTTTGTAGTCTAATTGGATGAAACTAGCCTGTAGATGTATAAAATTCAAAGACAAATGAATGAAATGAAATGTAAGACATGGAGATAATATATGTTTAATTCTAGAATTTTAAAATTTTTATTTTGATAATAAACTTATTTTTTATTATTTTTCAGTTCTTTAA